TACACTGTGAAGGAAGACGCTATTTTCGACGGAGTCGCGTAAGGTTTGCATGACACGAAGGAGCACCACGCCCAAGGAAAGAACATGTGCACTCGCAGCATATATGCTGCGTCGAAGGATGATATAAATGACCATGCCTCGTCTCAGTGGCTGCAGATTGGGCAGTTCGGAAATATGATGTAACCGCACGGCAGGAGTATGACTCGGAGATTGGAGCGCAGCATTACAGGTACGTGCGAAAAACTATAAAGGAACAAACAGCTTACTACTTAGTTCTACTGTTAACAGCCATATTCGAAACAACACCTTCGCGAGGACATCTGTTTTATTTCCGGCGGTTTGTCTACGTAAGTTTCAAACCCTCACAAATGGACCTGGGCTCATTTGATTCGATTGCCCTAGGGAACACCAACGGACACAGACCTAAGCGAATCACCACCATGGCGAAACAGACGGAAATCAGCCATGTCACATTTCGTGATGCGACGGAGGAGGACCTTCCGTTTAGTAGGCAGTTAACTTCAACCTTATCAAGTTTCGTACTCATATGTTTATTACAGTGAATGAAATCTATAACTACAATATCATACACACCACCGGGCTGTTCTTTACATCACCTGTATCTGACGAGTACAGGCTGAAATGGTTCCGAAATCTGAAAGACCCAAACACAGATGGCGGTCCTTATCCGTGCTTGCTCGGGGTACGAAAGGGCGAAGCCGGCCAAGAGTTCAAGCTGGGATACATATGCTACCTACCGTGGCTAGAGGGCGCACAATTCCATCAGTGAGTTAGACAAGTCTCAAACTGTCACGGAGAGCGAACCTATCCTTTCGAGTAGCGTAGCAGAAATATCGCTGTACATTTCGCAAAAGTATACGCGTTCGGGCCTTGGAGCTCCCTTTCTCAACGCTATCTTAAACCACCCGCTCGTAGAACGATTCAGAGTCATCATCGGTGAGTTCCAATCACCCTTCCTGCATCGATCTGCTCTCATCATGCCGCCCAGCTGGAATAACAACGGAAAATGTCCCATCTATCAAGTTCTTCTCCAAACATGGGTTCCATTTCTCAGGAGTGTGAGCATAACACATCAACGTCCCTAATATCAACACCAATCATAGGCAGATTCCGTAACGTCGGCTTCAAGTTCGGCCGCTGGCTAAACGTCGCACACTATACATTGTACTTCCTAGGAGTGGCCATACCGACGCCATCAGGACGTGAAATTAGGTGCGCTCATTGTCGGTCCTCGGCGAAGGGGGAGGACTCATGATCCGGTTTGACTAACGGTATCACTCAGCCATGACAACCTGCCCCATCCAAAAACGGAACAAGGTAGTATTATTTGTCGAGATGTATGCGAGGAGGATCTAACTACTCGTGAGTCAGGTTTACTGAGCTACGTGCGACGTCTCTAGTGTGGCTAAAACCTGGGCGTGTGTTGGACAGTTGACGAATGTGGAATTTACCCAACTCTGAATATCTTTGACTTGGCCACTGTTGCAATGAAAGCCCGACGCGTATGGTTGCAATCCTTGAGCGGTCGCCCAAAGCTCCCATGCCCAGTGATCGTTGCCCATGATCAAGACACCAAATCACCGGCAGGGTATGCGTATCTTAGACCCATGTCCGAAAAGCCGGCATACAGGTTGTACGTATGTCAATAGTTGGACGCGTTTCTCAGCTGAATGTGCAAGTTAGCTCTACAATGCTTCATCTAGTGGTTAGCAAGTTATTGGCGATAGAGGGGTTGCTGGATGCAGTTTTGGAGCATCAGCACACAAAGGCCTTTAGACTAATCATAGGTAAGTTTCGGATAGTAAACATTTGAAGCTCTCGCCTTACTTATTGTGCACTGTAGTCGGCATAACTCCAGAAGAAACAGGCTTCAAAGAGAAACTTTTGACGCGGGGCTTCAAACAGGCTAATGTGTAAGCACAATTCTCCTAGGGTTTAATATAATGTCCTAAATTGTACCCAGGTTCAATCAAGCAGTTAAAGATGACGGGGTGTTCAAAGATGTATTGCTGTACGAGTTGGATTTGAAGGCACAAGAGCCGCCTGAACCGAGCATGTACTCGGCTACTCGGTTCGCAAGTATATATTAGCCAATTATACTATATTCACCTCCTAAAATGATACGATTACTATATCCTGCTTCAATAGGAGGGATGAAAGGGTGCACACTCTCCGCATTTAAGAGATCCCAACGTATATTACATAGACAAGGTCCTTTATCGAAGGAGTGGCGCAAAAGTCGTGACTTCATGTCCAGAACAAAAGCACATGGGGAGACGCAGCATATATGCTGCGTCGAAGGACCAAAAGAATTGCGTGTACTACGGCGCAGTGACTACAGAATCCATGAGTCGAAAAAACGACGTACATATATGGTGGGTACGCGATTCAGAAGACTGGAGCGCAGTCTTATACCTGCGTGAGGAAAACTATAGAAGAGCAAGGTACTTCCCTAAATTTAGCGTGCCCGGACTTAGTGCTGCCTAAACACTAAGAATCTCGCTTGGTGTTTTCTCTATCACCCTAGCTATATTCGAGCAAACGCTCACGTTTTCAGGCCCACAAAAGTAGTTGTGTTAGTTGCTTGCATTTTGTCTACAAACCCTCATAGTCGGAGCTGTACTGACTTAATTTAACTTTCTAGTGAGCACTAATCACTATCCACCAAGGCAAGCCAACCGGCATGGCAAAACAGGCGGAAAATGCCCAAGTCACGCTCCGCGATGTGACGGAGGAGGACCTTCCGTTCAGCAAGCACTCAGCCTTGACTATATCAAGTTTCGTACTTATACCATCCCCGTTACAGTGAACGAAATCTTTAACTACAACATCGTACACACCACTACGCTGTTCTTTACCTCTCCTGTGACTGACGAGTACAGGCTGAAATGGTTTCGCAACCTAAAAGACCCAAATACGGGCGGTGGCGTTTATCCGTGCCTACTTGGAGTACGAAAAGACGAAACCGGTCGAGAGGTCAAGTTAGGATATATATCCTATCTACCCTGGTTAGAGGGCGCACGGTTCCATCAGTGAGTCAAAAAGCCGCTTAAACTATCAGGGGGCGGTAACCATTCCTTTGAGTAGCGTAGCAGAAATATCGCTGTACATTTCACAAAATTACACACGCTCAGGCCTTGCCATTATCTTTCTTAACGCTATACTGGCTCACCCACTCGCGCAACGATTCAAGGTCATCATCGGTCAGTCCCAACGCTTTCTTTGTGTGCCCATTCCGTCTCTCAATGCGCAACTCAGCCGGAATCACAGCCGAAAACCTTCCATCTGTCAAGTTCTTCTCGAGGCATGGTTTCGTTCTCTCCGGGCGGTGAGTAGTAATTACCAACGCTCCTAGCTTTAGCATCAACCCTATACAGACTCCACAATGTCGGCTTCAAGTTCGACCGTTGGCTGGACGCTGTATTCTATACACTGAACCTCCCAGCAGGAGTGCCCACGACAACGCAATCAGACCGTGAAATCAGGTGTGTCCATTATCGGGATTAGGACGCACGGTTCAGTTTGACTGATTGTACTACCTAGCCTGGGTGATCCGCCTCGTTCCAAATCTGAATTAAGTGGTGTTGTTTGTCGAGATGTATGCGAGGACGATTTGGACACTTGTGAGTTGGCCTCAATGAGCTGCATGCAACACTCCTGGTGGCTGAAACGTACGATTGCGTTGGATAGTTGGCGAGTGTAGAGTTCACCCGACTCTAAACTGCTTTGATTTGGCTACTGCTACAACGGGACACCAGCGTGCGTGGTTGCGATCCTTGAGCGGTCGTCCAGTAGTCCTTGCCCAAGACCAAGAAACCAAATCGCCGGTGGGGTATGCGTATCTCTGGCCCATCTCAGAAAGACCGGCGTATAGATTGTACGTATGCCGATAGTGGCGCACGTTTTTCAGCTGAATGTGGTGACCAGTACTATGGAACTTCACCTGGCGGTGAGCGATCTATCGGTGATGGAGGCACTGGTGGATGCCGTTTTGGGACATCAACTTACCAAGGCGTTTAGACTGATTGTTGGTGAGTCTTGGACAATATATGGTCGACAGTCTCATCATGCATTGTAGTGGATATCATTCCGAAAAAGACAGGGTTCGAGGAGACGCTTCTGGCGCGCGGATTTAGTCAGACCGGCGTGTAAGTGCGCTTAGTTTACCACCCACCAAATGTTCTAATTTGTTTATACCGCTGGAATTTAGGATCAGTCAAGGAGTTAAGGAGGGCGAGACGTTGAAGGACATATTGCTCTACGAGCTAGACTTGAAAGCGCGAGTAGCAATCTGAAACGAGCATATCATCGGCTCTTTTAGCCTGTATGCATAGAGCAGCCAATTATGCTACATATATACCGTCTATAGCATCTTAGAAAACCCCTGTCTGTAAACCACCTCAGGACTCACGAACGTAGTTCGGGTGGAACACGAGCTGCCGCTTAAACACATGAACGAGCGTTCCGGGGACGACAGGCGCCTGCCAAATAGGCCCGAACCGGAGAGTGAGTGTGGGGACGCGTTGCGCTCGTGATCCAGAACGAAACAACACGTCATGCGACGCGAGCTCGAGCAGTGCCAAAACTTGACTCGTGTTCCTCAATGTCCCGTCATGACGGATGCTATGACGACTTTATGACTTGTATGACTTTGCTATGTGCAAGCTGTCATTTTGTGCGGTCGGGCGCAAGCTATATTCTAGGATGTATGCATGCACCTGTGAGGACAAACATGCTTATCTATGCCTGGTGGAAGGTTCCACCTCAAACACAACTTGACATGTCTTGCTGCTTCCGTCAATGATATAAAGTCCTTTGGGGCAACGATTGTGCAGGGGAAATGGCAGAAGGACAAGTTGAAAACTGAACCCAAGACTTGGGTGCACGTAAAGTGCATAAAATGATTCCGAAAAGCTCAGAAGTGTTCTTTTTGATCATTTCAGGCTAATTAAGACACAGGAAAAGGTAGAAAAAAGGATTGGACAAGTTGGGAATTGAACCCAAGACCTCTCGCAGTCACGTGACGTGCTTTGTCATGCTTGCTAAGCGAGCGCGCTACCAACTGCGCTACATGCCCTTGTTTGGACGGCCGACTACAAGCGCCGTGATGGGCGGGCTCGCACGAAAGAAATTCGTCATTTCGAAGGTACACAGCTCTCGTTGAACGTGTGATTAAGTTGCAAGGGCAAGATTAGGTTACGTTCATTTGCACACTTATGGTAGTCGGGACTATCGGCTCTGCAGGTGTTTTCCGAAGTCAGACTTGAGAGCGTCGGAGCTCACTCATGTGGACACAACTTGCAAGCAGGTGATGAACAACGACAATTGAGCCTGAGCTCGACCTAGTTATAGAGACAACCACGGGACCATCTAGTTGCCGCAAAGGTAACCGTGACGCAATGGACCCACGCTGGGAGCTCTGTTGGACGGCATCCAGACCTAACACGACGACTCTAAAAGCATACCCTGACTTGGCAAGAGACCGGCAAGAGTCATGTGCAGGCGTGCGGAAGATCGCGGGCGGTTCGGAGCTGGCGATGGCAAGGCTGGCAGGTGTGGGGGAGCGAGCGCTGGTCGGGTAGCGAGCGGGAGGATGAAGCGCGACGCTGTGAGAGGACGATGGTGCGCGTAGCATGCGGCCGAGCCTGCTGAGTGAGCCGGAAGATTAGCCGGAGAGAGACGGAAAACGGAGGGACCCGGGAGGGGCGATGTGCGCGGCGGGGAGCTGTGCGGGGCCCCGTAGCGCGAGCAAGAGACAGGGGTGGAGGGGACGAGGACGGGAAGACGCGTATCCGGACGGTGCGTCGGCTGAGGTGGGCGGCACAGAAGGCGTCGCACGTGGGACACAAAAGCGCAATAAAAGTAGTCACCCCAGTCTAGTAATACCACAACTGCCAGTAATACCGACACCGGCCGCACCCGAAGGTCGCCGCTGCTATCTCTGCTCACGACGATTGGAGGATATCTGACGAGGAATCAGCCATGTCGCTGCTGGACCAGGCCCGCCACCGCCGCGAACAGCACCATACCCAGCTGTCCCGCCCCCCGCCGCACACCCAGATCCAGCTGCCGCCCATACACACATTCGCCCCCCTCCCCGCCCCCGTCGCCCGCCCAGCAGCCTTTGCCGTCGCCCACCGCACCCACGACGGCCACCAGGCGTACGACTACGGCGATCTGCACGAGACTGCCAGCGGAGGCGGATACAGCTACTACTCGAGCGCACAGACCCCCGCCCCGCACGACCCCATGATTCGGTGAGTCGGCTCTGCTCTGGCTTGGCTGGTGCTAACCCCGCCCAGCCCGCGCCCCTCCTTCCCCATTACCATCGCTCCGGCCCAGCAGCACGCGCCCGCGTCAAGGCCACACCCGCCCCCCAGCCGCCGCTTCGTGCATCCTCCAGCCACGTATATCGCGCCTGCCCACCCCCACTCGCACCATCTTCACTCGATCCCACCGCGAGACAAGTCCACCCGTACGCTTATCCTCGATCATCTGTTATGGATGCACGCCCGGGCCCGGTTTGGCGCAGCTCGCGGCGAACTCGGTGTTGGCACCCGCCCCCACCTCGACGCCAAGGACGCCTGCCTTGAGACACTCGAAGATCACGGGGTGATGGGTCTCGGATTATTCGAAGAAGGCATCGACAAGCTATCTTACTCGACCCGCCCGCTGCCAACCAACGATAGCGATTCCGATGAGATACTTGCTCTCGGCCCGCCAGACCTTGCGCTCGCAGCAGCCTATCGCGCCAAGGCCACCGGCCTCGAAAAGGTTCTTACTGCTATGCTCGATCAGACACCCGCGCCCGACCCATCTCCCGACGCTGAGGATGACGGAATGGGCGTTGACGGCGCCCTCAGCACCAGTCCCGGCAGCTCCCGTAGTAAGTTCGCCACCAATACAGTTAATCCGAATCTCATTCTCTCTAGATCTCATGTCCTCGACTTCTCAAAAGCTGCCTAATTCGGTCCGGCTTCGGCTTGCCCTCTCCCTCCTTGTAAATGAGCTCTTTTCACCCGAACCCGAGCCTGCGTCAGCACCGGCGCAGTCGGCTTCCACCCCACCTGCGTTGCTCTCGCTTTCTCAGCTCGCTGCACCTGCGCCCGCCTCCCTCTGCCCTCCTCCGCCGGTCACCACCCTTCCCTCCTTTCACCAGCTCACATCCGGAGCTCCGCCTCATCCCCAGAGCATCTTCCAGACTATTCCCCGTGGCCAAGGCCTGGACGGACCGTGGACCTATCCCCGTTCTTCTTCCTCGACACCCCACCAATCGCTCTTCCGAGACGGCGTCCTAGACGACCCATATGCGCAAGCGCAAAGCGGGCGCTGCGTGCGCCACCTCTCGCGGACGTGCCAAGTCCCCGCCTGCGCGTATATCCCTCAAGCACCCACTCCAATGACATCCAGCCGCCCAGCAATGATTCTGGGCGTTCAGCCAGGCCGTACGAGCACCATTGGCGCCGGTCTTGGTAAGCCTGGCGGCCCGCCCCTCCGACTCCCCCGTACGGCCAGCGCGGGGACGAGCATGAACATGAGCACAATGCGTCTGAGCGTTAGCCCACCCGGTCCAGGTCTCGGTATATCCGGCCCAGGCCTTGGCAGCGCGACGAGCATGGACACAGTCGCCGGCGGGCGCCTCACAGCACTCGTCTCGCGTTTCCTTCGGCTCTCGGCGTTGGTCGCGATTGAGCTTGGACGAGAAGCGCGTGGTGAAGAGGATGGGATACTCGGAGGGGGAAGGAGGTCGGCGATGAGCCCCCCGCCTGTGCGGATTCCGAACACGAACCCCTACTTGCCCGCAACGTCGAGCGGCTCCAGCACGGACGGGTCAGATGACGAGATGCTAGGTCCGGGGTCCGTCTCTGGCTCTGTCAAGAACGGAAAGCAACGAGCAAGCAAAGTCGGCTCGTTCTCTACCGCATCAGGCCGACCCATCGCAGGATCTCTACGCGCCGGAGCTGGAGCTACGCGCTCAACATCGATCGCCCGACCTCCGAATTCATCGCACTCCAACGGCCGATCGACGCCCACGCCTCCTGCCGCGTCGGACATGTCCCTCCACGCTCGGCCGACGCGCGTGTGGTACGCGCTTTTATGCGGACTTGTCACCCGTGCGTGTCTGGAAGGATATCTCATGCGTGGGTGGCGTGGAACAAGCGGTGCGGAGGTGCTTTTCAGACTGGGCGTGCGCGCGGACGATGGTGCGAGCGCGAATGGTGCGGGGATGAATGCCATGAATGGCGTGGATATTATCAACCCCGTGAACAAGCCTCCAGTAAACGGAAACGCAAGTGGAAGTCTGCCAGGTGGCCGAACGTTGAGTTCGACTGAAGAGCGAGACCTGGCTGCGTACGAAGCGCGCGAGCGGGCGTTGGCTACGATGTACGATCCGGACGAGATGCCTAGCTTGGCCGAGGCGGGTCGAATCTTGTTTACACGGACTGGCAGCGGCGCGGAAGGTGTGGGGGAGGAAGAGGAGGAGTGGGACCGGGAAGTTCGGGACCGGCTTGTCGAGGTGCGTTAGTCGTCCCTGGCATGCGAGGGCTTTGTCTGACTGATCATCGTGTTTCTTTTCTTTTTCTCTTGCTTGACTTGTGCTCCGGCCTCTGCGGATCTGCAACAAACGTTATCCTGGATTCGACTCGACCGTGAAACTCAAACTCAAACTACGCGAATCTTGGATGCTTGATGATGCGTACCGTCCTGATGCGGGCTCCACCCACTCTTGATCGATCCGGCTTTTGGCGCGTTACCTCCGCCTACGCGTACCTTGATATCTCCACCCACTCGGCAAACGCGTCCGTCGGTGAATTCTTTTTGATCTTTCTACGATTACTCGGGGATTCCCCTGCGACCGTTTGGCGATCCAATGGCGCACCGACGATAATGTTGCGCTGGACGACTGAAACGCTGTGTTTTATCTCCATCTACGGATTGCTTCGCGCGTTCGCTCTAACCCAACCGAACCCGACCCACACCAACATGACCAAACCCACTCACTGCTACGCGAACACGATTACCCCATACTAGTTCACGACCGTCCCTCACGACGCACCCGGGCTGGGCGCACATCTCGAAGCGCTGACGGATCGATACCCGGCAGAGCCCGTCGAGCGCGCAGCCCTGCGGTTCTGCGAGTCTGTCGCGAAATGGCGTGGGAAGCCTGAACTAGAAACCGTGCGTGTATGCGAATGTCTACACCCGAGATAGAGCGAACTAACCTTGTTGTCTTCCATGTTGTGATTTTGTGTGGGGCTTATCGTATATGCTGGGGCACGTATAGTACAAGAAACCCGCACGCGCGGCGAGCTCACCTGGACCGTCGATCCCTATCGACCAGCTGATTAATATTCCGCTTAGCGCAACACCTAAGCCACCCATTGAGCGATACTTCCACCTTCCCATCATCGCGCCTTCGCCGTCTACGCCCACCGCCCCGATGTGGCAGACCTCAGAGTCAACACCTACAAACTCAAAGCGGCAGCGCACGCACGACGATACAGGCGCTGGCGGGCGCGAAGCGAAAAAGGTGAACGTCGCGTCGGGGTCGGGGTCGGGATACGTAGAGGTGGAAGAGTGGGTTGGGCCGTACGGCGTGTGAATGACGAGCTCGGCTGGGCGAGTGGGCGTGACGCAGGGTTGTTCTTATGCGTGGGAATGTCCTAGGGCGTATTTGAGTTGCCTTTTTCGATCGAGAGGTTCAGACTTTATGCTGTGATTTTGTGTGTATATATTATGTCCATCTTGTTTGCTGTTTTAAGTACGTGCATGTATTTTCTGTCTTTGTTGTTCATTTTTGATTTGATATGAAAGACCCCAATGCATTATTCCGATCCAGTAGTTTGTACAGGCATAGGGCGGAGATAAGTGGTACAACAAACAGAACGAAAAAGACAGTGTGAGTGAGGGATTATCGGCGAGCCAGAAGTAGAAAGTAGACAGAGTTACAAACACAAAGCGAGAGACGACATATTTAATAAAAGCACAGAAATCAGAGAGAGAGAAAAGTCCATATAAAAACATACTCCTATATCCCATTCATCGGTCGTACACGGCGGGGATCATGTTCGCCCA